AATAAATATTATCCTGTATTTCAATACACTCACAATGTACGAGGATGATATACAGATTTAAGTAGAAAATTATAATATGGCTTTTGTCCGGCTATAATAATTATTATACGTGGTCGCGTTCATGTGCAATGTACACACACTAATTGTTATATCGAAACCTTTGTAATTAACACATAATATATATTAGGTATATATTATAGGGTGTCCTATAGTTGCAATTTACTGCACAGTGCATTTTCATCACCGTACGACGTCTCACGTATCGCCATACCGATATTTAATATATTAAGTTATACCCGCAAGTACCACGTTTACTGTATGGTGACTTGAAATATTTTTTATTACGTTTACTCTTATTGCTTCTGTTTTAAACAGCATTAAACACAAAATATAAGTAAACAAAACGCTTATCATGTGTTATTAGTTCATCAACTCGATTCTGAGTGGCTGTAATATATATTTTATAAGACTTAATAATGACAGACTAAAAACTCGAAGACGGTCGTGTTGTTTAATTTTTTTAAATGCGCCCACACGCATTTATATTAGTAAGTATACCTAACAAAGTACTAACCTATAAATATAATCAATACTTAATATTTTAATATTTTTTTTTTTTAACAACAAACAATTACCATATATGGTACTCGCATGTCTTAGTCGTATTAAGTTACAATCTATTTCTTAACCTACAACCCTGCAGGGAATAACAAAAACGGCAGATAACCACAACTAACTATATAGAAATATACAATAACAAAAAAATACAACATAAAACCTATATGTACAAGCGTTAAACGCGTGTTAAAATAATATATTTACTGCACCGCAAAGGCGCACGTTTTATCTCGCTGTTTTAATCAAAAGATAAATACATCTCTGCGGATCCGGGATCATATATGTATATACCTAACCTGGTACCGGTGCCACCCCGCCGAAATAATGGTTTACTTGCATTCACAACAACAATTGACGCCGGATCAATTATAGTTTCACGGTCGGCCAGGCAGCGGCGTCCGTCCACCGGAGTGGCGGCCAATAATATAATAACATTTAGGAGGTTTACCTATATAGTTTATACATAATATTATATTATGTCTTATAATATTATAATGCACAAGGGCTGCCGCCGGTACGTCGATAATGAATAGCCGCGAACGGGTGCGAGTGGGACGGATGAGAAAAAACACCCCCTCCCCCCGAAATAATAACAATATAACGAATAATAATAGTAAGGTAGGTACCGCAGCAGTAATATAAGTGAAGGTATACCCATGTTGTAGCTTGTCCGTTTTCGTAGATGATTTGGCACACTGAACAGTGTCGTGAACAAGCTCCCCGATAATAATATTGTCTTTTGTTCGCGGTGTTCAGAGTTTTTAACCTGATTGTAAGTACTCGTATTGTATATACTCGTATAGGTAAATAATATACATGGCGATTCACTACAAGCATGCTCTCCCCTATTTTTTTTTTTGGATAACGAATTTATCAAATCTGAGTTTTAGAATTTTTAAATATAAGGCATATAACTATATATAAGCACTCGGAACCCAACACTTTCGAATTCTAGAAATGTTTTTGTACTATACCTACTTAATGAGTGTCTACCGTATCCACTGTAAATTATTTAATACCTAGTTATTTTTTTTAAACATGTTGTTGTATCAAATCCAAAATTCAAACGAGCAGTTTTTTGGTTATTAAAAAATGTTTATATACGTACTAAGGATAAAAGTCCTTAAAAATAGTCCTTAAACATAAAATAGATGTAGGTAGTAGGTACCTATAATATTAAATCTAGTATTCCAGAGTTTATTACACATCGATCATTTTTTTTAAAATTATTTATGTTAGTAGATTAATATGAATTACTAAAATGTTTATGTTATAATAGAAACCATATCTTCCAAACCCATTATATCATGAACCTATTTTCCTTACCTATATTAAACCAATTTAAATAACTCAAAAACTATACTCTTTCGAATTTTAATTTTGATATGTCCACATTTTCAGAATTATTACCCCAAAAATAATTTACAGTAGAAAAAGAAGGTTCCCCTCTTTGAAAAAACAGAAGTTTGCATCTTTCAAGGACACTCTTAAGTATAGTGCAAAAACATCAAAAACTTTATAATACCATAATAATAATATGATGGTCTTATTATTCAGTATAATATTTAAAAATTTCAAAAATCGGATTTTTAAGAACTGTACAATTACTGAAAATTTCGGGGTTACCATTTTTGGTGAATCGCGCTGTATATACATATTTTTATTTATGATATATATCTACCGGTTTTTCCCTCTTCTTTCCTCGTCGCTACTTATATTATATACCTATTATATACATATATTTATGTATAGGTAGGTACTAACGTTCGTCTTTATATTATACAGTGCACGTACGCCTATTATACACACGCGCGTTCGTATTCTTCTTGGGCGCAGCTCCACTCTGTTTCTTTTTTTGGTGCGATAAACACAATAATAACAATACAATATAATATACATACACACACTCACACTCGTTGAATGCTAATCCACCGCGTGCAGCGTGTACGACGACGCTCCAGCCATCTACTTAAGAAATATATATTATATTATATTATGATCCTATTCAATAAATCGGTTTCGGGCTGTTTGGCCAGTCTATACATACACATAAATACTGCAGTGGCTCTCGCGGGTACACAATGCGAGGTGAAGAAATCGACGCCGCCGCCGAAGGAGTGTCCATTTGACACCGTCGGTTCGAGGAAATAATGACCTTTGTTCGAAACGCATCGGCGGCATTTTCCTCGCGACGAGACGTCCGTCGTTTATATTATTATTTATTATTATTATTATTACTATTATTATTATTGTCATCGTAGTCCAGATACGTATCTGCGCCGGCGTTTATTGTTATTATTTTTTTTTCTGCCATTATTATTTTCATGTTATTGTTATCAGCAGCGTCGTGATGGATTTCCACGAAGACGCGCACGATAATTAGTCGCATCGTACATAATATTATAAATAAGGGGGTGAGAGTGACCGGGGTAGGTACATGTTACTTACCACTGCTACCAGGTACGACGACAAATATAATCCCGAGATTAAGACGAGTATATAGTTATTATCGAGTGCCACCCTAATATATTATAGGTACCTATGTATATGTATTATAGGTAGACAATGTTCGGTTTTGTGAGAATAACCGGCGAAAATGTCACGGGGGTAGACGAAATCCGATAGCCTAATACATAATATTATACATATTATTATTATTATTGTACGCTTTACGTGTATAATAGCTGGTATGTCATTGCAGCAAATAGGTATATCGAATTTTATATGGAAACCTGTTACACGTCCAGACCACTTTAAGTAGTGCCGGTCTGACACGAAAACTTAGTTGAGATATAAACCACCCCGACGTTGTACTCTATAATATGATATCCTCCATTGTTATTAACTGTTATTATTATTATTATTGGTTATTGTACGTATATTCTTTAAGTGAGTGATATCGTATTATTCTGCAATTGTACTGAAACTTAATTTCCCTAGTTAAACTTAATAGTATGATTAATGCTGTGGTGCCGGTTTGCGTTTATATAAGGTTTTAAGCACAAAATCTGATAATTTGTTCAAAATACGGTGAAACCTCTCAATAGTATAGGATAATTATAATGTGCAAGCTATTATAAGGGGTAGCTGGTAATTGCTATTATTCGGAGAATTTAGAAGTGTCCGCTATTAAGGCTGGTGTCCTTAAACAGAAGTTTCGCATTACCATTATTTTCTATTGCATCATAAAGAACTAAATAGAATAAACGGAAGTTTATAAGCTTGTTTTTGTTTTCTATTCGAAGAAAATTATTAAAACAACAAAACTGATATTTTTATATAAATCGTGTATATTGTGTTAGTGTATTTTAAGCAAAAGAAAAATCAGATTTAATTGTATATTACTAGGTAGTGTTTGTACCTATTATGATATTTTTGTAAACTTACTTGTTTTGTTTTGTTCATTTCAATAAATGATGGGAACCAGAAGAATAGTAATGCTAACTCGGGTCCTCCTCTGGCTCTCGAAACCTCGGAAAAAAAGATACCTCTTATAATATATTATAAAATATCGCCTTTCTATAAATTGTAAAAATATTGGGTCCATATAAAATTTATATTTCAAACCAAGCTTACCATAATATTATAAGCATATTATAATATTATACATTCAGAACCAAATAATGTAAAAAAAATAATTATACTATAGTTATGGATTTAAAATTTAAAATTAACGGCATTAATGATTGAGCTATATTATGTATAAAAAATTAAATTTGTTTTTATTATTTACGAAATAAATGAACAGGTAGGTACTAATAGTTTAATAATTTGATTACCTATGTTATTTCTATTGTCTTGTTGTTAAAATCGTACTCAATGCGAAGTGTATATTATTATAATAATAACGAGTTATGTATATAGGATAGGTTGTTTGCTACATATTTGCTATTTATAAGTTATTCATTAGTAGGTACATAGGTACGTACCTATATAATATAATACTTTTAAGTATCTACAGCGAAAATCTGTTGTAATGCGAAATCGAATCTAACATTATTGTTCGTTTTGTTGTGCCTAAAGCATTCAACTTTCCCGGCATTGTCTGTTACATATTTTTCTCACCTGCATGGCTACATTTCAGACGCTCGATAACTGATAAAGGTCGATCGTATATACCTACTCAACTGTAATATTGACATTTTGAACGATCGCGATTCTTGTCGAGTATACAGACATGGGCCATAAAAGCGCCTGCAGCAACGATTGTTCGGTAATTATATATAATATTGTGTGTGTGTGTGTGTGTGTATCGAAACCGACACGCTCGAGTACAACACTGCAGTTCTATTATTGTGTATACACATATATTATATTCGCGGATGATGAAGCCCGCGCGCAGTGTCTGCCGGCGAGCCATTATCATCATTACGACCCCTCCGCTATAGCGAGCGGTAACCATTATAACCACCATAACCATTACCAACCGGGTTACAATCATCATCATCATCATCAACATCATCGCCGTGCGTAGTCGACGAGAAAAAGCTTTTAATAGCTTTGATTGAGTGCCACCCTGAATGCCCCTCTGCTTGCACGCCACCCCGAGATTGGTTTATTAATACTGTACACAAGCTGTTCGAGTTTCCTGCAGGGGATGTTTTGCACGGCCGCCCTTCACCCCCACCCGAAGCTTTCGCCCACGCGACATTTGTTCCGCCCCATCGGCTAATATTAATTCTGATGCACGAATTCCGCCGGGGATAACCGCCGCCTAGCATTAAGCCGGTAACATCATAATCGCGCTTTTGCGAGGGCTGTTTTTGTTTTGGTATTATTATTATTTTTTTTTTTTTTGTTGTTGTTTTTTTAAATCTTTCCAATGAGGGTTATTATATCCACTCAATTGGAAATGGTTGGACTTTTTTTTCAAAAAATATTTCTGACCTAGGAAATTGAATTATGTTGTGGTTGCCCGCAATGCTTATATATTATGATGTTAGTTTGTTCATTATATACTCTGCAGACCACAACTGTAAACGTTATTTTATCTCGTTTTGATTAGTAAGTAAGCCAACAATATTTAATACAATACAATATTATTAAAATCCTAGTATTAAGGCCTAGACTAATAACCAAATTTTATAAAAACTCCTATTATGCATACTGCAGTTTACACACTACAATTTCAAAACAATTATCCGTACCTACCTATACTTTTCTTAATTATCCGAAGAACAAGAATATTTACGCAACACCAACTGTTAAAGCACTAATATCGGTTTCCTTATATTGTTATAATTCAAAAACAAATAGATAGTCATTGCTATTTGAATTTACAACAAATATACTTTATACAAGGATTTTTTAATACGTTTAAATATGTTTAAAAATCTAATAACAACCTACTATAATATAGTAGGTTGTATTATTTTCTATTATATTATAATATAAAATATACAATTTTGTTGTATTTCCCATTTTAATAGCAATACGGCTTGAACATATTTTAATGCAAACTGGTTGCTCACATGTTTTCTAACCAACATAAAAGACATAAAAAATAAATAATCTTAGTTTTTTTTATATATACTTTTTAGGTTCAAATTTCAACAAAATTGAATATTATTTAAACAAAAAACATATACCTACCTATTTTAGTTAAAATGTTATCTGTTTAAAATCACACACATTATTAATCACTATTATATATATGTGCTGACAATTTAGTTTATAATATATATATAATAACAGGTACATATAAATATAGCCAATAGCTTTAAGTAGGTATTGATTATATGATTATTGTTTAAAAATGTCAACTATACCTATTATGCATAACTTAAATTTTATGTATTTAAGATACTGAAAAAGTTATACGATACAGTTACTACTTAATTATAGCGTACATGCCTACTACCTAGGTAGATACCTATATCATAATTCATACATTATATTATTACCTATTGTTTAAAAAAATATTAATATTAATTTAGTTTATTTTGCATTTATATAGGTACTTATATACCTATATAGTTCAAAATTGATGAACATGAATATTATAATTTTCCTAATTAACTATGATAAAAAGTTTCCTAGTTTTTTTACACTCAGCCATTATACACAATATTATCTGGTAAGCAAATCTGTAAATTAATTAATTATAATTTTTTCAACTCGAAGAAACCCACGACGATAATATATAATATATTATATTATATTTACCTATATATATTATATGCATACCGAAGTATATAGCGTATTATATTGTTGGGACATTTTTCACGGTCAACATAGTTAATTGTTGAAAACAATATTTTGATTGTAAAAATCGAAATAAACTATTAACATACGGCCCTATATGGGCTTAGTTTAAAATATAAAATATTGTATAGATATACTCGGCAACACGCGTAATCATGTTAATCTTATAGGTACCTGCTGTTAATCTATTATAGATGTTAATATGTTATCTACTCGTATTATAAGACTTTTGGGTCGAGGAGAATAGTTGAACAAAAATGTACACCTATATGTATATAATATAGAGATTATATAGGAATTTACCACAGCTGCTGTTCAGACATATTAATATTAGATATATTATATAAATATATAAATATATAATTTATATTAGGTATACTCTTATATTATATAGTATATATATAAGCGCTGTAGATTAACCAACTCGAAGGAGGCGGCGGCTTTGTCGTTCAAGTGGAACCCGATGATCGTCGTCGCTATGTACCTACGGGGTAGGTATACCTATATACCATATTATTATTACCTATAAACAGTAGGAGTCGACGCTAAAGACGAGGGTAAACGACGACGGTAGACGAGAGTGGACGACGATGACGACGACAGCGTCGGTGGCGGTAGCTTCGTGGTATATATATATATACGTCCCGCGCATAGGTATATAAACGCACGTGATGGGTGGGGCGGTTCGGCGGCGCGCGGTGGGGGATGAAATCCGTTTTTGGACCAATGGAGTGGGTGTGTCTGTTGCGCCGGGGATGGGCGGAGCGTCGTCGGTACGAGGGCGGTGGCCGCGGGGTTAAAATGTCCGCGCGCGCGGCGTAAAAACCGTGACTGGCGTCGATCGGGAGGGTCGGAGAAGTGGGGAAAAAAAACCCGAAAAGGGAAGGAATAATAATAACGATAATAATAGTAATAGTAATAATAATAATACGGCGGCGGCCCGCTTAAGTGCTCCGACACCGCAAACCGTAGTCGTCTCATCAGTTAGTACAACCACCCGACCGCTCAGCGACGACAATCGCGCGCGTACCGTCGTCGTACACACACGCACGCACTCAATCGCTCGGTCGATTTACGCACCTCGATCGCTGTATCCGATACCCATCGTAGGTCCGTAGTCACGCCGCGAGTGTTTATAGTTATATATAGATGACAATTTATTATATACGTAATATATAATAGCCAAAGGGTTGTAATATTTTACGATTACTCGTCATAATAATTATATTATATTATTATATAAGAAAAACGTCGACGACGCGTGTGCCGTGGAGTAGTATTATATCATAAATTAACCCGTCGTGTGCCGGCAACACGTGCGAATTTACGTGGCGGCTAACAAGGCGCACAAATACGGGCGCAGTAGTCGGAGGAGCGACTACTTTTTCCGTCCGTTTCCGACGTCACGCGAAACGTTTCGGTTACCGTCAAATTCCGTCATCATCGGTTCCGCCACGGATATCCGCGACCGTCGCAGCGACCGCGGCATGTCCGAGTCCCCGCGCATCGACGTGACCGGCAACGACGATGACGACGAGTTGTGCTGCACCAACGACCGGGCACCGGTCACCGGCGCCGGTAACGGACCGATGACGGCGGCCGCCTGCAAGACGATGATGATGGCGACGGCTGCGGCGGCGGCCGCGATGACGGCGGGTAACGGAGGCGGCGGCGGCGGCGGTGGCCGCGAATCTCCAGCCGTCAAGTCGGCCGCACCGCCGTACACGTCGTTTTCCATTTCGAGCATACTCAGCAAGGACAAACCCGGCGGGGGCGCCGGAAAACAGCACAGGAGCGTGGGCGCCGCTGTGTCGCCGGCCACCGCGGCGGCCGCGGCAGCTGCAGCGGCCACGTTCGACGTCACCGCTCATCTGGCAGCCGCAGCCGACCACGCCATGTTATCCAGGTTAGTTCGCAACAACTGTTTCCTTCAGTACTTATACGATTTAAGGGGTCGGTGTAGTGGCATACGAGGGGGTAGGGTTCTAGGGTTCTGACCCCCCCCCCCCTGAAATGTCTTCTTTTAACAAAAATCTTATTCGTCACAATTTCAATATAGAGTCGATCAATTGTTGGTCATTTTTAATAGATATAAAATAAATTGTTAAATATGACAAAGACGTCGATAATCGTAGTTTCAGTTTTTTTTTTATCTTGGAACATTGCTAAACGTCTGCCATAACCGTCAAATGGTGTATAATCATGTACCTATCATCGTCCATCGATTATTACCATAAAAAAAAAAAAATAATGTATACAAATTACACATGTAAACCCCTAACCGAACTAAAATCCTGCGTACGCTATACTGGGTCGGTGGATAAAGGTAGTAATAAGTGACGATTTGGAAATTGTTCACAAACGCAATTTTGTATAAGTTGTAACTATAAATATTAAAAAGCTATGAGATTTTTTCACATTCTATTTAATATTAAATTACTTATGAGATGATACAATATACATGGGACTAGGGATGCTCTAAATATAGTGTGAAAATCTATAGTCACCAGATATGTTCTAAGGCGCTACCGTATCTTTATCTACTAATGGCAAACTCTCAAATAACATTACTATTATAGCCTTTTAACAATATATTATTATTGTTTATAATATTTGAAACAAAACCTTTTCAGACTGTATTGCTATAATGTTTATTACCTACACTATAACACTTTTATTTTAGCAAACTTTAAATATGTCAGCTAATCCTACTATTATCCAATAATCCTTTCAATTATTATATGATATAAATATAAATATATTAATATACCAAACTTGATCAAATTAAGTTCTTGTCGTACTGCAATTGCAATATATTTTCGAACACATATTAAGACCTCTATAGTCTATAATATATAATATATATAGAGGCCCAATGGCAGATACTTGTCTCTACCCTTCTCCCTATTAATGGAAATAAAAAAATATACAGTACACAATATTTTTATAGTATTTATAGTGTTTATCACCTATAAAATAGGTAAAAGTAAAAAAGCTCATAGATATTATCAAAATTTATTTGTATTTATTAAAAAACTGAATCATCTAATAAAACAATATGTTATGTATACAAAATAACGAGTATTATATAATTGAGTATTATATTTTTGTATGTTGTATATTTTTTTTTAAATACCTTCACTCCGGCCCACGAGAGTCCATACGTAAAAACGCATCCTTCGCTGAGCATCGGCACTTTGCCGAATAGTGGGAATGGCATCAATGTGGGTGAAAACAGACGTCGCGTATTACTATATCGATGCGAGGTATGGACTCTAGTGGGTCGGAGTATATATAGTATATATTATACGAATATTAAAAAAAATCTGAAAATGCAATAAATCTTGGACGATTTAAAAAAAAAAAATGTTCATGTTTCCTTTCTTTTTTCTTTTCTCGGATGAAGTTCTTTTTTGTTTTGGACCTAAAAATTAGTAGGTATTTGGTATACCACTATACCGGACACATTATTAATTTTTAAATAAATTTATCAATACTAGCATTGAAACAAAGAAATAAACAAAAAAAGAAAGAAATTACAAAGAAATTTTAAAAATGTCCAAGAAAAAATTGTAAAGTATTCTAAAAAACAGGAAATCACGGGAGTTTGTAGGTTCTTACTATTTTCACATGAATATAATAAAGTATTTTGCATTTATGCCTACATTGTTTTTTAAAAGTATTTTTTCTTAACATTTTAAATTAGGTATTTTAAAAAAGTTAAAATGATCACTTAATACAATTTTAAGCTGCTAACTCTATGTGATATTTAAATACCTTGTACCCCCGGGACATGCCCCGCTTACAGTCCTAAATCTAGGTCTGAATATATTACAGTGGCGCCATTTTGGGGGACTGATGTTTATGCTTTCTTTTATACATCTGGATTTTCTCTTATGGTTTCCCACGTGTAAGTATAATAGTTGGTTGAAGCAAAATTGTATTCTTGTACCAATATACCTTAATACCTGCCTACATTATAATGTTTTCCTATAATACCTATGTTGTTGTATGCAATCTTAAATTATTATAATTTATATTCGATTAGGCATCGTTCATAGCACGAGTTATCTTTGTGGGTGCAGTAATCTGTATACAGATTTTTAATAAAAATAAAAATAATAAAAAAAATTACGAAATTATTGTTAACTTTGGACACGTTTTTTTAATACTATATAATATCGTTACTCATTAATAATATAGTTGTATCAAGTCAGACGTTGCATAATAGACCTATTCCACGAACCGTTTATAAATGTGACCCTAAAAAATGTATTGGTCTTAAATAAATGAGTTTTACACTTTTAGATTAATTGCTTATTAAGATAAGCCTAGGGCCTTGCTAACTTATGTATATTAATATTATAGAATAAAGTATAATAGTCGTACTAAAAGTATTATATTGGTTTTGAATATGATGATATATTATAGCAATGGACAACACGTGACTAGAATATAAAATATAATCTATACCTACAAATAATAATTACTATAATCAATAACAACTAACGAGCCATATAGTACTCGCAGCTTGTTGGTCTTCTCGTCTTGACCACATAATTATGTCATACCTATAATAGTGATATAAGTAGTTATTGTTTTGATTTACGGCAGTAGCTGTTTGTCAGCATTCAACGAGAAGGTGCTGGGTGGTTAATAATATTGTTTACTCCACAGGCTGCGCATTGGGGTTGGGTCTTCTTTAGGTCATCATATTAAGGTATCTATATAGCCGTATGTCCTATACTTATACGCGTTAGAATGACATCTTCCAAACTGTCATGTTTTTTTTCCAACGTTCGGTTGTCCATTTTACTTTGCTAAGTTGGTTTTCGTTTTTCCTCCACTCACATAACCATTTTGTAGGTATCAATTTTTATACTAATGGTTTTTATGACGTTTTAGTATATACGCGCGATGTGTTAAACGCATTTCTCTTTGGTCGTTATAGTATGTGCTTGCTGTTTATATAATTTTTCATTTCATTCAACATTACTGTCCCCAGCTATAGTATTCTGGAAGGAATAGTGATGTTGTTTTCGCAGTTTTTTATCTTTTAATTTCTGTAGCTTTTGTTTTTTTTAATGAATTAAAATAGCATACATGAATACATACAACTTACCTATATATAATGATGTGTTAGGAATGGTTATTACTTATTAGCATGTTTAACATTTTCGGGTTCTAGTGAAATTAAAATTAACTATGTTAAGTAGGTATACCTATGATTGCATTCATAACGACTTACAATCGGAAGTAGGTAGGAACTTTTAGACCTACAAATACATATCATACTATAGATATAATATAGTATAATATTTAGGTGTATTTGTATTTTCTCTTTCACAGAAAAATAATTGTATAACGAAAGTACATGATATTACATTTTCTACAGCAAGAAAATATATAGCTATACCACGTGGATTACACAAAATGTTAATCATTTTATTTTTTTTATTTAGGTTAATATAAAGTAATTTATAATAATTACGTTGCTTGAGATACTTAACGTCGTTGCCGTATTTTAATATTACCTTTGTATACTAATCAGTAGGTACTACTATTTTTAACGATGTTTAAAACTGTAACTAAATATAATATAATGGTATTGATGAAAGATGAATAGTCATATACATAAATCACCTCTCTTAATATAAAGTAAATTAAAAATATATTATATTATTTCGTATTCGAATTCCCGAGAATATTTTCCATTTGACTCTAAATAAATAGTTTTGACATTAAACTTCTTTCTGTTTAAATTTGTTTTCATAGATTTTACATCATTCACGTTTAATTTAACTTTTTGTGATGTTTATAGAAAGGTGATCACTGATCAGTGTATACATTAAAAAATATCTATTATTTTATGTGTTCAATGTATAGGACCTTTGAGTATGAAGCTTTTTTTCAACTGGCGGTATTGATGATGCAATGATAATGTAAAAACAAAAAAAGTAACAAACAATAAGATAAAATTATAGCCGGTATAAAGTAGTTTTCTATGTAATTTTATCTCCGTAAATGATATAAATTCATATAGGTACTATCAAATGACTGAGAAATGTGGGCTCTGATATTTATCAAATGCATTTCTTTATTATTTATTTTTACGTTTTGATATTAAATTAGATAGCATTGGAAAAAATCTTAAATTTGTATGATTAACTAACAATAATAGTAAATAAAATAAACAATATTTACCTTACGGCTTACTTAATTATTAGGTACCTCCATATGGATATATTATATTATGCCGATATGCGTACATCCTAATGGTTATATATAAGCTCCTTACATTACTAATGTGTACTGCCTGTAATGTAAACCTATGTACAGGGACGTCTTGTTATCGTCAATAAAATATACATATTTTTATTACTAGTGTTTATAATATTATCAGTGTCAATTGTGTTAAAATTTGTTACGGAGGGAGGAGGCAAAAATGCATACAACTTTGGATTACATACAAACGCGCTTAAATAATGATGTCATCATTAATAATATTATTATACCTATAATAACATCCAGAATTCAAGAAGATATACCATGGAAACTTGAACAAATTATTTTTTTAATCAAATTAATATTGTAATGTCGTTTGTTCATTCCACTGAATAAAATATTTAGGTAGGTACCTTACATATACCTTTACACTTCAACACGATAAGATCGGTTTACGATTTAAAATTAAAATTTTCAATTGGGTTTGGTAAAAAAAAAAAATACAATAATAATTAATAAACAAATAAAAAGTCCATTATGTTGAAATGTCCCGTTTAAGATCTATTATAATGAACGTTTATAATATTATTATGCCGTTCGGTATTATATTATTATTATGTTTGTATGTTTTTGTAAAATAATTGGCGCGAGTCGGCGGATTCTCCTCGCCACACACACTGC